TTCCCACGTAATCGGTGGCATGTAACCGCCGGTTCCTCCACTGGCTAGGGGAACGGCTATCTTCATCCTATTTCTGGATATTCTACTTCTGCTCGGGGTGACATTATTCAAGCGTTCCTTATTGTTGCTTGCTGGTACGTTGTTAATGGTCTGTGCGGCACTTCGACTGGGCTTTTCGGGCGTCGCATTTGCATTATTCGCGCTTTGCAAATTCATGTAAGCGACGCTACCACTGCCGCCGCAGAAAACGTTTGTCACGCGTTCCATCACGCTGGTCTTGCCGCTCCCTGAAAAATTTCAGGCTAGTTTCAACATTTTCCGTTCGCGTGTTAAAAACTCGCAGAACACAAACTACACTAACGTTACATCAAGCTTATAATTCCCAACGTAACTGAAGTATATTGTTGAATGGGAAATTATTATGTATATTGATGTAATGTAACGTGATCGTCTCAATTTTAATTTTTAACTCTCCGTCCCACTTTACGCGTCCCAAATTTTGTTCCAAATTAAGAACATAATTATGAATTGTCCCTTTTTTAAGTGTGAAAAGAATAAGTGTGAAATGTGTATATCTTTCAACTAACGTGATTTTCTTATTTAAAAACCCAGATATTATTCATAAAATACTTTCTTTTTTACTAGGAAAGTACAATTTAAAAAATAAAACGTGAAATCTCGTATAAAATTTAATATAATTTTTGTTGTGATCTCATGTGTCATATGTTATACATTACATTAAGTCTTATTAGTTATTTACAAATGTAATAATATAATATTGTTCATATATGTTTCATTAACAATTATATTTATCTACTAAAATTTAATTAGAACAATTAATATTGAATTTTTTTTAATGTCTCTGTTTCCCTTCTTAAGGAGTTGGTCGCCCTTAGTGTAATGTTACTGATATAGTTTGTGTTCTGCAGGAAGGCAGCAAGTTTGCAGATTAAACAGTAATTGGAACAGCGAGTGGAAAATTCAGAGTTTAAAGAAACGAGTGGACTTTAGAACCACGGATAGAATTTGTCCAAGAATTTGCAGAGCTAACAAAAATTTATGAAAATAAAAATTTGCAAAACTAGGAAGCGGAAAAGTCAAAGGAACGGAAGGATAAAAACAATATATATTGCAGGATTTTGAAAAGAAATTTATACATATATGTATACTGGATTTTACAAATAAATTCAAAAATGAAGAATTTCTGAAAATATACTTTCTACTTTATCTTGAATTTTATTATCTGGGAAATTCTAAAAGTTTGTTGAATTGAAAGAAACTGAAAATCTATAAACTTTACAATCGTGAAAAGAAGGGAATCTGTGGAATTTATAGAATATAACATAGCAGATTACACATTAAGCAACTCTAAGGCATTAACGTTATTTTGATTTCAAGCGAGATTTAAAACTCCCATTTTCTCTTTTTACAGAGAGAGAGAGAGAGAGGGGGGGGGGGGGGGGGA